TTTCCAGGTGTATATAAAACTTAAAATATCTCTGTTTGTTTGCTTGTTTGTCCGCCGCGTTCATTCACATGTCACAATTTCCTCACATGAAGGTGCGTAAAACAACAATTTTTCGTTGATATACGCGTCGATCGTCTGCTAGGCTGAACTAGTAATTTTATTGTTAACATGTTTTATATGGTTGTGATTCTAAGCAGACTTTGCATTTTTTGGTAAGTTTGAGTTAACATTGAATTTAAAATATAGCATTAGAATAAATAGGCCTATTTAGTTATAGATAATTAATTATAGACCTACTAATACATCATATATTTAACCTCACACACATAAAAAAAAATATGCAATTAGAATGTCGTGTGTGAGAAAACAAACAGTACACCTAGCATATAAAATAAAATTATGGCGTTTGCCGTAAAAATAGACTATGTAAAAAGAGAAGGGCTAAAATTATAATACTTATTGTGTTTGTTTGTTTTTGAATTTCGCGCAAAGCTACACGAGAACTATCCGCGCAAGCCGTCCCTAATTTAGCAGTGAAAGACTGGAGGGAAGGCAGCTAATCATCACCATCCACCGCCAACTCTTGGGCTACTCTTTTACCAACGGATAATGGGGTTTACCATCACATAATAACTCTCCCACGGCTGAAAGAGCGAGCATGTTTGGTGGGACGGGGATTCGAACTCGCGACCCTCAGATTGCGAGATACTTATTGTGTACTATGAGATTAAACTTCAAGTCAGCGTAACTGGTAGAACTCTTACATGAGGTGGAAGATGGGTTGAACTTAGAAATTGTATTTTTATTACTAGCATTAGAATAGATAGACCTCTTTAGTTATAGATTATTAATTATACATCTACTAATACATCACATATTTAACCTCACACACAAAAGAAATGCATGTAGAATTAGAATGTTGTGTGTGAAAAAGCAAACAGTAGGCCTAGCCTGTAAGTATAAAATAAAATTATTACTGGGAACAACAAAGGGGAACATATTTTCATCTCACGTATCCAATTAATTCCAATTGATCTCCCCTTCGAGTTCAAATGCCTGCAGTTCCCAATCAAATTAAGCTTTTCGATGTCAATCAACAAAACAACGCCAGTCTCTGAAAGTAGTGGGATTTGAATTGACGTCAACATGTTTCTTACATGGACAACTCTACGTTGGATGCTCAAGAGTGGGGAACAACATGGGCCTATTTATCATCGCAAGTGAAGGGGAAAACATCGTTCATAAGGAAGCCCGGATTTGAAACAGGTTCGTTGTTTATTTTCAAAAATCAAACCTAAGGTTGTTTTCATTTTCATAAATTCACAAAATATTTTTACCTATCGAAATATGGAACGTGAAAACAGAGAGAGTAAGTTTTTTTACGAAAACCCAGGCAACGTCGGATAACCGAGCTAGTAACTTATTTATTGATAAGGATTTTACTCTACGGTTATAATTAACATTGGGTTTCTTTCTGACAAAACAAAATCTTAGAAATGTTTTTGTTTTTTATGGGGAGTGTTTTTGAAATGTAAAAGAACTTTAGCATAGTTGATACAAATTTGTTAAACATCCATAATTCCCATTTCAAACTTTTGTACAAATGTGATCATTCCTATCACGTATAAAATAACATAGAAACTTTCTTATTTTCCAACAAAACAAAAAAATTTAAATTTAAAAATTTTTTTTGATAAACAGAATCGTATAAATTTGTGTATAACAATCATATATTCAATTGTGAAAATACATCGTAGAATATTGTCAAAATAGCGGTGTGAAAATATATCACTGAATCATCAGTGAATGTTAATAAAATAGTGCCCTGCTTTTAGGTCTTTACTTTCAGAACACATTGCAAGTTTGTTACACTTCTAACACATTTGATTGGATATTTCTATCAAGAAAGAATGGAAAAAAAAAGAGAGTTAAAAATATGTGAACTTGGCATTTAGTCCTCATGCACTAAACGGTTAGCTGCATGGTTTACAGATTAGTCTGGACCTTTTTCTAATATTTTACTCGAGGGGCGTTATTTTTTTATTCTTCGGATTAATTATTATCTTCGTGAATCTTTGTTTTCTAAGTGTTGATTGCAGTGTATTATCATTGACATTTTACAACCACTGTGGCAATACGTCTTTATGTGGTAATTTGTTCCAACGCCCATTCTTTAACAAATAAATAAAATAACCTATATTTAACACCAACACAAATTTCTTGGAAATGGAGGTTTGAAGAAATACTTCCATTTATAGCACCTTTTTAAGCTCATCTACTCAGAATTAATATTAGGAAACTCATAAACCTAGTATTTTTATTGAAGAAAATACGCACAAATACGTATCAATGGACGAGTTTGTATTGTAGTTTTGTTTACATATTATTGCTCCTTGAAAATGGGGATAATAATTTGTATATTACCTCTTAAAATTAATTTTCTTTACTTATCATCAAAAAGATGATGCACTACACCAAGAGGTGGCCATTCTCTGAACACAAAAGTAATAATAAGATTGGTTGCCACTAGATGTCAGCAACTCCTGGCTAATAATGAATTATTGTTTAAAAGTATTTCTCATTACTACCAATTACGAAATGTATAAATTTTCTCGAATTTCAACCGTGAGACTATTCCATGAATATTCTATTTCGGTTCTGATACTATATACAAGGTGGGCCACAGTGAAATCCCAATAAATATACTAAGAATATGTTTGTATTTCAAGTGGGGGATACAGCTTAACAATGAAATAAGATTTGTAGTGTAACTTGTAGTGTGCTGTTGTAGTTTCAATTTCCCCTTTTAATTTTTTATTAGATGGATCGCTATGGCCCACTGTGTAGTTTCTTGGTAAGACTTTTAGTGGCATTTTATCAACTTGTTTTGCGTTTAAAAAAATTAAAGAAACTAACAATAAAATCTATGAGTAATTATATTTGGAAAATGTTTTAACACTATAATAAAATCTAGGAGGATATTATCTATACAGTGTCTGAGTTCGTTTTATTTCACCATATAGTAAACTAAATTAATTTAGGTATGTGAATAAGTTATGACATTTCATCGAATTCATTTTCGATATTACACATACACTGAGTGGTCACAAGTAAATAGACACCTAATGTTTCGTCATTTAACTGATTTATGCTAACTAATGTGTGTTCACAGAGCACTATATAAATGAAAATGGTCCGCACACTAACTATCTTGTGCTACAACATGCCTAGAACTCAAGGTTCTCTCGAATTGTCAGATTTTGTCAGAGGAAGGATAGTTGGTCAAGTAGATGGTGGAATAAGTCAGCGGCAAATTTCGCAGAATTTGGGAATTCCGCTTTCGACAGTCAACAGAATCATCGTGCAATTCAGGAAACACGGCAAGGAAACAGCTGAGCAGCGTCCTGGTCCATCGGAGAGATCAAAAAGGGCTGTCAAAAGGAGCATCGAAATGAATCCCAGATTAACGACTGCAGAAGTGGCCAAAGTTGGTGGGATGAGCCCGAAATCTGTTCAACGGATTCTCCACAGATTGGGTTATCATTGAAGAGCAGCTAGACGGAAGCCTTTATTAAGACCTGCCAACATAGTCAGACGAAAGAAGTGGACAAGTGATATGATGACCAAGCCTCTGGAC